TCCACGGGCAGGAGGTGCATGGAGGAAGGACTGAGCCCTGGGCCTGGGACTTTCCCCTCAGGGCACCTCGTCTATTCCTTGAACCTTGGCTTTTGCTCTGACCAGCTGACTGATCTTGGGAAGCTGCCTGCCTCTCTGTCCTGCCTATCCACTGTGGGTACCTTCTCTCTGGGACACGGACCACACCCTGCATTCCCTGGCAGGACTCTCCCTGCCTCCCCTCCTCCCCTCCCGCAGCGGCGGCCCTGCCTGTCTGCATCTCACTCAGCATGCCCTGCCCCTGGTGCACACGCTACCTTGTTGGTTTGTTTGTATTGTTTTTGGTTTTTGGAGGGGCGGGGGGGTTTGTGGGTTAACTGATTGGGGTAGTTGATTTGTCTGTTGTATTGTTCCCTTTGTTCTGAAAGGAACCCCTAGAGCTGGTGAGCAGTCCCCTTTAGTTCCTTTCTGCATGTGGTACCCTGTGGGCTGGCCTGTGGCACTTCCCCTCGGTGGCACAGCAGGTCAGCCCCAGCACCTCTGGGCCCTAGGGTCCCATCTTTATGTTTGCTGTAGCAACCTCCTTAATCCAGGCTCCACCCACACCCAGGTCCCACACTCATTGGTATTTGTCCATGTCCTGTGTGCTCACCTAAGCCTACCATCTTTGAAAAGAAACGAATTGCCACCTCGAGACCTGTCCTCAGTGTCTCATAAGTCAGAGCTCCTCCCTCTGCTGCCCCTGGGTCTGTCACACAGGTGGTCTTCAGCTCACCTGTCCCTGGTGTATCCAGCTCTGTTCCCAGCAACACTGGGATCAGCAGCCTCTCCGAGTGCCCACACCCCGCTCCGGGAGAGCGGGCCTGGGCTGCCAGCTGGCAGGTGCACTCACACAGGCCCTACCTGAGTTCTCACCTGGCAGAGAACACACAGGCCACATGCTTGGGCAGGGTGAAGGCCGAGCCATGGGGACCTGGTGGAGCACCGGAAAACATGTGGGCTCTTAGCTTGGGATGCTGGGAACTCCCTGCACCCTGTGGTGGTGCAATTTACACAACACTATACATATGTAACACACACACACACACACACACACACCCCAATAGAACCGCTTCCTCCTCATCCTCCAGGCGGAGCCAGGTGGTTCACCCTGGGTATACCTTATGTCCCACCCCCCACTCCTCATGTCATTGGAGGCTTGTCTGTTTGCGGAGGGTCAGAGCCTGTCCTTCCCCTGCTTGCTGCGAAACTCAGAAACCAGGACTGTGTCCTTCCTGATGCCCCGAGAGCAGGAGCAGGAGCACTAATGCATCTCCTGAGGTTCACATATTGTGTCCCATGTGGAATGGCCGAGTGGACCCCGTGGCTGCTGGCTACAGGAACATGTATTGCTAATTAACCAAATAACTTGGACAGCAGCACTCCGGCCCCGAGTCAGGGTGCTGGGCAGGCTCCGGTCCCCTGATCAGGTCTCGACAGCTTCTCCCTGTTGGTCCAGATGGAATGAGGCACTGCCTCCATCCTAGTCTGCAGGTCCCAGTCTGCTGGGAACCACATGCTCTTTCTGGAACCCCATGAGATACAGTTGTTTTAGATCATGATTTATAGTAGGAACTATCCTGGAAACAGAAAATGCCTGCAGCCTGGCTGATGTGCCTCAGTGGTTGAGCGTCGACCTATGAACCAGGAGGCCACTGGTTCGATTCTCAATCAGGGCACATGCCTGGGTTCGGGCTCTATCCCCAGTAGGGGGTGTGCAATCTACAAGGAGACATATGTAATACCCTTTGTAATACTTTAAGCAATAAAAAAAAAATCAAAAAAAAATATATCTACAAAATGCCTGCAGAGCAGGGTGTGGTGTAAATGCCACACCATCCAAGTGTGGACTTTCTGGGATTTTCAGGTTCTGTGCCTGTTCACATGTCTGCAGCACAGGCACCAAAGGGTGATTTATGGGAACAAATAGTAAACTCTCCTGTAACTTGATATCTTTGCAAATTGAGAGGGCCAGCTGTCAATTTTAATGGCAGAGCAGGATTGCTGAGCTAGCTCCCAGCCAGCACCCCAAAAGTGAGGGCACCCCAACAGTGAGGGTGGCCCACGGGCTGGGGAGAAGGGTGCAGAGGGGTGGGGTTACATCTCAGGAACAGGAGGGAAGTGTCACCTACAGACTGCGACCTCTTTTCCCTCTGCAACAGAATTCTAAAATAATCACAGAGGATGGAAAAGGACATAATATTTTAAACTAAATGTTAAAAATAAGCAATCAACTTATGGGGTTAGATTAAAGAGGTACTTAAGAAAAAGTTGTGTGCTCTCAGTGTGAATTTTGGGAAATAAGGTATTTCTGAAATTAATGCTCCTGGTTTTTACTGCAAGATGTGAATTAGACCGTTAGCATAGACTCAGAGTAGGAGTCACTCTGGTAAGAGCCAGAATCAGTATCAAACTGGTTCTAAAGGAGATGAATAAAATAGAAGAATATCTCAATATTGGCTGAAAAGTTCTAAAAGGGACAAATAATATAAACAATGAGATTGTAGATCAGGACTGATCTAAAAGTCACGGCGAATGTCATGGGCAGCTTCGGTTATCCTGAAACCACTCGTGCCAGGAAGTTTAGGGGGGGAGGAAAAGTCTGAGGACTTCGGAGATTTCCTCATTGACAAAAGTACTGAAATGAAACAAAGAGAAAAGGGAAAGCTTGATAAACAGTAGTCTTAGAAACATGGAAACAGCAGTCAGAAATCTTCGTAGAAATTTCTCTAGAGAGGCAGCTGGCTGGAATCCCAGAGGATTCACCCAGAGGAGGCAGCACGGGAGGAGACCCAGGGGTCAGGGTCACCGAGGCTCTCGATGACTCGGTCTCAGAGGTGTATTCACGGGCAGACCCAGCGATTCCTTCCTTCCTTCCTTCCTTCCTTCCTTCCTTCCTTCCTCCCTCTCTCTCTCTCTCTCATTCATTCATTTATTTTCCCCCAGCAATTCCTTTAAGACAGGGATGGGGACACCTGACCCTGCCAAGACAACATTAGTCGGAATTTGAAATTCAATAAATCTAGGAGCTTTTTTCATAGCAACATAATTTTTAAGTTGCTAATTTTGTATGGCCCGCAGACGTTATATATATCCAAATGACCCTTGGCAAAAAAAAAAAAAAAAAAGGTTCCCCACCCCTGCTTTAAGAAAAGAAACTAAGTGTCACTTCCCAGCACTGTCTCGAAGGTTTTAATGTGAGACAAGCTGTGAACACATCACTTATGGTGAGTGAGGACAGGCACAGGTTTACCCACTGGACACAGACCTGTGATAAAGTTCAGCACCCAGTCACGATGTAAAGCAAAGCCAAGTTCTCGGAAAGCCAGGAGTGTAAAGGTGCGTTCTCACCAGTAAGACATTTCCTGACAGCCTCGAGCCAGCACCACTTAGTGGGAAGCATGGTCACCGAGGACAGCAGGTCTGGGATTGCCGCTTCGGCGCAGCCTCCACTGAAACTGGAGCTTCCCGCTGGGCTCTCCCCACCCCGCTCCTGCAAGAGGAGGAGAGGAGGGCCAATAAACATTGCCATCATTTGCAAAACATGGTTATCAAATCCGCACTGTCCAACAGGCAGCCGCGGCCACAGGTGGCTATTGAGCACTTAAAACGAGGTGAGTGGCCCTAGCCAGTTTGGCTCAGTGGATAGAGCGTCGGCCTGTGGACTGAAGGGTCCCAGGTTCAATTCCGGCCAAGGGCACATGCCCAGGTTGCGGGCTCGATCCCCAGTGGGGGGTGTGCAGGAGGCAGCTGATCAATGATTCTCTCTCATCATTGATGTTTCTATCTCTCTCTCTCCTCCCTTCCTCTCTGAAATCAATAAAGAAATATATTTAAAAAACAAAAAACGAGATGAGTGTAAATTGGGATGCCCCATAAACATAAAACTCACACTGGATTTCCGACATGAAAAATCATGGAGTACCTCATAATTTTTTATGTTGAGTACATGCTGAAGTGATATTGCAGGTATATTGGATTAAATAAACTATAAATTTCATCACCTTTGTATTTTTTAAAGTGTGGCCACTAGGAAATTAATAATTACACATTAAATGGCTGGCATTGTATATCATGTTGGGCTGTGCTGGTCTTGACAGGGAGCCCAAGGGAGTCTGCAGAGGCTGAGGGAACAGCCCACATGCGCTCAGTTGCAGGTGACAGAGGCCCAGCAAGGTGAGGCGGATGGGGCTGTTCAGGCTTGGCCAGCCGAGAGCATGAGACCTCACCGCAGACCTCCTGTCTTTTCTGTCTTCTCTGCACCAAACCTGCATATTTGAAGTGTGTGTTATTGCAGGTAACCGAACACTGCAGTATGGGTCACACGCCTTTATAAGTTTCAGTTCTGTCATCCTTCCCGGTCCTCTTCTGACTGACCACCTGAGTATCGGCTGGTGTAGAGCCAGAACGTCATTGTGCATGGAAGTGCTTGTGTTTTAGTGACAGCTGTCCTTCCACCTGGACTCGACCACTCAGCTGAACCCACGTGTCCATCATTCCCACTCCCTCCCTGTGTTTGCACTATCCCCTCACCTGCAGGGCCTGCCCCTGCCCACAGAGCCCCAACTCACCTTCCTGGCGTCCTCCCAGCTAAACCCGCAGTGGCACATTCTCTGCTGGGCTCGTGCCCTATAACTTCCTTGGGCTGCAAAGCCCCCGAATTCCCTGGTCTTCCTGGGGCCTAGTCTTGCCAGCCCCACCCCTGCCATCTTGCCGTTTCACAGATGACATCTTAGTGCTGTGAAAGTGTCCTCGGGTCATATAAGGCTCGGGCTCGGACTGCCTGCAGGTGTGGGAGTTGGGGCGGAGCGCTGTTGACTACTTGAGAGGGTCCCCAACTGCAGTCCTCGGCCTCCCGCAGGGGTGACTTTAGGACTAGGATGGAGCGGGAAAGGGGTAGCAGGTCCCCTGTAACCTGGGTAAGGTGTCGCTGCTGCTCCAGCCACCTGGCTGTTCCTAAGATGAAAGTACCTGGCCAGGATGGGTCTAGCGCCGGTGCCTGGCAGCTTCCACACGAGGATTCCAGAGGAGAGGTTCCCTGATGACCGTGCTTCTGGAACAACCTCAGTCTGTCTCCCCAGATCGCGGTCATGACGCTGACGCTCTTTCCCATCCGGCTGCTGCTTGCCGCCTTCATGATGCTGCTCGCCTGGCCCTTCGCGCTCGTCGCTTCCCTGGGACCCGCTGAGAGGGCCCCGGAGCAGCCCCTGGCCTTGTGGCGGAAGTAAGTCCTGTCAGTAGTGCTCTGATGTGGGGAGTCACAGGGCCATGTCTTTGTTCTCACAGCTTCTATCCACCCAGTGTTTATCCTCCCCTTCCTGGGGCAATGTGTGCCAGGGCTGCGCTCTCCAGTCTGGGACACTGCGGCTCCTGCCACACCCCTGCCATGGTCTCCAGCTTCCAACAGGGTCCTTCCAGCCACATGGCTGCTATTTCCCCCAGCCCTCAAACCCCGGTGTGGGGTATGCAGGAGGCAGCCTATAAAGGATTCTCATCATTGATGTTTGTATCTCTCTCTCCCTTTTCCCTTCCTTTGAAATCAATAAAAATATATTTAAAACAAACAAGCAGGGGAGAACAAACTGCACACTGAACTCCTGAGAGGAATACACAATGGCTTGTGCCCAAGTGTGGGACCCAGGGAGGCAAGAGGAAACAGGTTTTGAAATAACAGGGCTCAGAGCATATGCCTTTTGGCTTCGTGCACAATGGGGAGCACGCTCGTGCAGTGGGTGGGGAGGTGGGTCCTCCCCGCTGTGCACAGCTGTGCGGCTCTGGGTAGACCGATGTTAGGTTAGGGAGCCTTTTTGCTCAATGTATGTTAGTGTCATTCTAAAGTTCCTAAAATAAAAATCTTAGGTTTTGTTAATGAAAGGAAGTACTCCCTTTCACAAAAGTCACTTACTCTAAGTTACTTTCAAAACACACAGTGTTGTAAAAACTAGTATCTTCTTGCAACACCTGACCAGCAGGCCAATACCTAAGCCAGGCGGGCTGTGGTAATGGTCGTCTTGGTGCTGACACACACACACACACACCCAACTCGTGGTATAGAAAGAGGGTGTCTTAGTCCTGTCAGGCTGTCTTAACCAAGTACCACCAGCCGGGACTAAACAACAGACATTCATGCCTGGAGGGTGGAAGTTGGAGGCCAGGGTGCGGGCATGGCTGACTTTCTGGGGAGGGTCTCTTCCCGGCTACAGATGCCACCTGTGTCCTCAGGATAGTGTCCTCACAGGACAGTGTTCTGGTTTTTCTTCCTCTCCTTTTAAAGACACTGATCCTATTAGATGCAAGCCCTACCCTATGATCTCATTTCACCTTATTTCAAAATATTGGGGATTAGGGCTTCAACATAGGAGTTTGGGGGACATGGTTCAGTCCCCAGTGCTCCGTGTGGGGACTCTGCTCTCAGATCTGAGAAGTCCATCTTCATGACAGCCTGGTGCCATGTGTGCACTGGAGACCAGGGCCTGGACTTGAACTTACTTTCAGCTTTTCTCTGCTCTCCTGAAAGCCTCCCCACCCCAGAGTCTTAGCTTGGGATTGCCCTGGAGAAGCCCAGCAGCCCCCACCTGCCCTCCAGTGTGCAGCCCAGCACTGCCTCTAGACCTGCTGCCCAGGGACTGGCCCTGCTCCCAGCCAGACTGGCCCTGCATTGAGCTCAAAGCTCCTTGCAGCTCCAGGACATGGCCCAGTCCCTTCCTCTCCTCGCAGCCCCAGGATGTGGCCTCAGGCCCCTCCTGTGCATCGTCAGCTGCCATTGCTTCATGGTGGTGGGGGGAAAGGGGAATAGAAGGTGGAGTGTTCCATCAACACACAGGCCAGCTCTCACCTCTCCCATTGTCCGGGTGCTTGTTCCCTTTTGTAGCAGAACCATTTGAAACATGCAGATCAGCAGTCTCCAGGACCACATGGATCTCAAAGACCCAGGTGGACTGGGCTCTTGTCCCACTCTTCACATGCCTGCGTGTTCAGGGACCAACACCCAGGGTTCGATGTCAGAACGCTCCCTCCACGTGGACACACTGTCTCCTCAGTGTCCAGTTATCCCCCCACCTCTGTGATCCTTTACCCGCCATGTGCCCCTTCTTGTTTTGCTGGCTGCGTCTACCTCTCCCCAACCTCGGCTGCAGCGAGTCCCTGTGCTCTCCTGGTGAGCTCATCTGGTTCAAGGATGTCCACGACTGTCCACAGGAGGAAGGAGACTCCCGTTTGACTTGCACCCTCTCTTGCAGGGTCGTGGACTTCCTGCTCAAGGCCATCATGCGGACCATGTGGTTCGTTGGTGGCTTCCACTGGGTGACCGTGAAGGGGCGGCAGGCCCTGCCCACCGAGGCAGCCATCCTCACCCTGGCACCACACTCCTCCTACTTCGATGCCATCCCCGTCACCATGACCATGTCCTCCATCGTGATGAAGGCCGAGAGCAGAGACATCCCGATATGGGGAAGTGAGTGAGGTCCTCCCCGCCCGCCCTCGGTGCAGGTCACTCCCGTGTGAAATAGGCCCTGGGTTTGCGTCCCTGTTATCTTTCCTTTGTTGTGATTTCCTCTGTAATAGTCATTGTGAGTTTTATTTTTCATTACTGCCCTTAAATATAATTTGTTGAATTACTTCTTCAAGTTCTATCACTGAGGATCCTAAAAGTCTAGGCACAGCGCAGGGCTCCATCCCAGCACACTAGTTATTGTTCTCGAAACCCAGGCACAGGAGGGTCCCTAGACTTCATGGTAGATCACCGTGGCTTAAAACAACAGAACTGTGTGCTCTCATTCTGGAGCCAGAAGGCTCTCATCACATTATCTCAGGACTGAGCCCCCGATGGGACTCCGAGGGCGGAGCAGCCTTCCTGCCTCCCCAGCTCCTGATGCTCAGGCGTCCCTGGACCTGCGGTCCAGTCACTCCACCTCTTTCTCCATTGTCCCAGGGCCTCTGCCTGTGTCTGTGTCTCTGTGTGTCTTATAATCCAGGGTGAGCTCACGTCAAGATCCTTACCTGTTTTAAAATGTCACATTCACAGATTCTGGGGGTTAGGACATAGGCACATCTTTTTTTTTTTTTTTTTAATATATTTTATTGA